TGGCTGCCTTTCTCCGATTGGTCTCGACGCTTGGGACTTAAGGAGAATGTGGTTGTTGCTGGAGGCGCGATTGATTGCCACATGGGTGCTGTCGGTGCTGGGATTGGGGAATACACACTTGTTCGAGTAATGGGCACCTCCACCTGCGATGTGATGGTGTCGTCTCGAGAAGACATGAATAAACGGCGGATCAACGGTATTTGTGGGCAGGTGGATGGATCTGTTTTTCCCGGGATGATAGGTCTGGAGGCAGGGCAGGCGGCTTACGGTGATGTTTTTGCCTGGTTTTTCTCGCTGCTCGCCTTTCCGCTAAAAACGGTGATTCAAAATTCTACTTTGATATCTGAAAAGGAGAAAGTGAAGGTCTGGGAAGAGTACAAAAGGGGCATTTTTGGCGTACTAACCGAGAGGGCTGAGAAAATGGAACCGAGTCCGGTAAATGCACTTGCTGTTGACTGGTTTAATGGGAGGAGGACACCTGATGCAAATCTCTTCCTCAAAGGGGCGATCAGTGGGCTTACGCTTGGGACGGACGCCCCCACCATTTTTCGTGCTCTTGTGGAGGCCACAGCATACGGATCACGGGCTATCGTTGAACGGTTTAGGGAGGAGGGTGTACGTATAGATCGTGTAATTGCGGTTGGTGGTATAGCAAAAAAATCGCCACTGGTGATGCAAGTTCTAAGTGATGTTCTTAATGTGCCAATAGGTGTTTGCCGCACGGATCAGGCGTGTGCTTTGGGTGCAGCAATGTTTGCCGCAACCGCTGCAGGACGTTACAGCTCGATCGAGATGGCTCAGAAAAAGATGAGCAGCGGCTTCGTCACGGAATATACATCGTGCTCAGCGAGGGCAGCTGTTTACGATACACTATATGGATCCTACCAGCGGCTTGGCCGTGTCATTCAAAAAGAATCCTTTTCTCACCTTTGAATTGCTTAAGGAGAACATGGAAAAACGTTTTTTTTTTCTTTTTTTTCTCTTTTGGGGAAACTTTTGCACTTATCCCAATTGACATGTTGGCCGGATTTAATGGTGGGAGGATACCGCGGAAGATGGGAAATATTATGTTTGGAGCTTTAGGGGTCGGAAAAGAAAATGAAAAAACGATGAAAAAGAGAGTCGAGGGAGCCTTATTTTTTATCTGGGGGAATTTTTTTTTTTTTTTTTGTAGTGGAAAATTGTGGGATAAATATGGATGGAGATGAGGGCTGTTGAACGTTTATTTCCCCGGGCGGAATACTTTACTGTTTACTGTTTCCGTGGCTTCTCTTTGGCGGATTATAAAATGGGCGTGACGGGGCCTCGGGAAGGTGGTGGGGGCTTTGGGCTTTCCATTCCGCCCACTCCCTTTGGGCCCGGCGGAGCCTCCCATTCGTCAGCGACGCGCGGGTATCCCGGCTTCATGTTCATGTAAACGAGACGAGCTTTTTTTTTTGTTTTTTTTCTTTGAAGTCACACCGGCCGCTGATGCATTGTTCACTTTGTGTGGGCTGTTTCTGTTCCCGTGATTTATTAGGAGCTTGTGAAGAGAATGATCGCGGGAGAGCTGGCTAACTCAGTTAATGTGTGTATATCCTGATAAAAGGAATACATTTCTTTACAACACATTTATACCGTATGAATCTTTTGGGAAGAGCACGACTTTAGTGAGCCGACAGCGGCCGGATAATTTTTTATTTTTATTTTTTCCATCCCACCTACCCCTCTTTTTGATTCCCACCCTTGCGGCAGGGTCTTGCGGCTGGAGGACCCCAAAAGTCTGCCACGTCGTAAGTAATAAATATTTCAGATCCTATCTGAGTAAAAAATGCCGCGTGAGCGGTCAACAGAATGTATATATTTAATCAGAAGAAAACATTGAGGCAATTAACCGCCTCTGCATTACATTACTTTTCCTTACTATCGTGTTTGGCTTTTATAGATTATTTCAGGATCCGGCCATCGGTCAAGAAGATTATTCTTTGTGTTTCACTCCGGCAGACCGGGCGGCAAACATTGAGGAACATATTTTTTTGAGTTAGTTCCTTCCTTTCATGTTTCTCTCTTTTCACACCATTTTACTTGCGCGTCTGCTGATGCGTCCCTCTGTGTGTTGCGCGACGTTCAATTTTTTTGTGTGATTTTTTTTTGGGGGAATAACACGTGGGGATTTCTTATGCTTGTTTTATTGGATTGTTTAGGGGTTTTTATTTCTTTGGCGCAGGTAGAAGGAGAAAAAAAAAAAAAAAAAAAAGGAGGAAGAAAGGGTACAAACAGCATGCCATCGGATGAAGAAGCTCTGGCAGCGCAGTACGCACGTCGGCAGGAGTTGTTGAAGCAGTTGAATGAAGTTAACAGCGCCATCAGGAGCTTGGAGCAGAAGATATCCGAGAAGACCGCTCAAAACGTGGAAAAGAATTCTATGGATGCTGCTACGGGGGGCGATACAGAGATGGAAAAGCTGGACTACCTTCTTGACCGCTGTGTACGGGATTCCAATGGTTTGCGGGACGCCATGAAGTTTGTCGATGCGTGCAAGGCCCTGAGGGAAAATGCTGCAGAAGAAGAGAGTAGCAAAGAAAAGCATTTCTTCTGCAATCGCTTTGTGCACAAAGTTATTGCCAGATCACCCGTGCTTGCGACCGATCCCAATGGCAGTGAGCTCATCCAAAACACGCTAGGATTGTTGAAAAATGGGGGTTCTGTATCTCCGGCATTGAACTCCACGGATTACATTGCAGACCGCGCCAGTGACCTGTCGGAGATTCTTCTTCTTCTGGGGGAGATAAAAGGGCACATACCGCGTATCTGCTATGACACGAACGGCACCCGTTTTACGCAGAAACTTTTTGATTACGTGAAGAGCGTGGACGAGTTGGAATTTTGTGCGGAATGCTTTTCGGATTCGATCATACCGCTTTGCAAAGACATTAATGGTAGCCACAGTGTCGCCCGTCTTTTAGCCGCCGCGCGTCAGTCGAATTTTTCTGACGAGAATGGGAAGGTTGATGCTGCCACTGAAGAGAAGCTATCAGGGATCCACAAAATGCTTTACAAGAACTTTGCGGAAAATTGCGTTGATGTTTGCAGAAATCGTCAGGGGTGCTGCATTATTCAAAAGTGTCTTCAATGGACACCCGAGCCGTATTTTTCCATGATTATCGACACCGTTTTACAGAACACCCTTAAGCTCGTGAATGATCCCTTTGGTAATTATGTCGTACAATTTATTTTGGACAACGAGAAGGAGCTCTCGCCACGCGGCCAGTCAGGCCAAGAGGCTACGAACTACACGAATCGAACGATACGACAGATGCTGCATAATGTCGCGTCACTTTCGTGCGACAAGT